CTTTTTGGAACAAAACCAAGCAACGTAACAAGGAATGTAGAAACGCGCCCCTAACGGATAAACCCTTCCCAAATTTGTAATTTTTTTTTTTTTTTAACCGTTTTAAAAAAAGGCAAAGCTTCCGAGTAGGTGACGCTGAACTGGTAACCCTTCCTCTATACCAGCTGTGCTTAAATGTAAGCACGCATGCCTGTAATACTTTCCTTGTTCATAATTGTATGTTCCTTTTTTGAATAGTTCTTTGTTGCGTTGTTTCCACCGGTTGTATTCTGCTCCTGAATAAGTCTAGCTGCTGCCTTACCCATCCGTGGATCCACACGCCACCACCGAGGACAAAATGAAAGTCGAAAGCAACAACAGCGACGTGAGCGACCCGTTCGCGGCGTCGCAGATTATAGGCGATAAGCTGCTGCAAGGCTGGACCTTGCTTAATGAGTGTTGCCACATGGTAAGATGCGCTTGAATTTAACAAACACGTGCCAATTGCCACTTGTACCCATAGGCGATACTGCCCAAACGTGAAAACTGCCTCCCTCATGACCGTTTTTCCACCCCCTGACCGCAGTGCATGGTGACTCCCCTCATTAAGCAGAAGAACAAAGAGGAGAGATTCTGTGCCAAGTGCAACGTGTACATTGTTTCTGAAAAACCAGACGGGGATGAACTCGTCACTAAAGGAAGCAGCAACATGGATGGAAAGAAAAATGTCGAAGGAGAATGCCAAAGGGATGTCCACCTAGAGGGTTCGCAAAATTTGACTTCCGGAACAAACAATGCAAATGTAGAAGCCGACACATGTGTCTCAGCAGAGAAGCAGCCATATCCAGATTCATATGCAGACCCCATTTTTGAGGAAAAAATGTCCCCCATAGAATTCATTAAGGAAATAAAACTCCAGCATGACGAGTTCAACCAAATCTTAAACAAAAATAAAATCACAAAGGAAGAAACGGAAAATTTAATAGAGTACAAAAAATACATAAAGGAAAGGTGCGGGTATGAACTGGGCGCGTGGATGAACAGTAATGGAAATGGCCTCAATGGCATTCAAATGAGTAATAAAAAAGAAAGCCAAAAAAAGGCAACTAGTTTAGCCAACAAGGATATGGATATGGATCCCGACGTGGAAGATAAAAAGCAAGACAAGTTTCCACATGAAGGAAAGAAAAATCACCAAGGACATAAACAAGGACACTCGAGTCAGAAGAGAGAATATGTAAGTGACTCCACACAAAGACGCCCAGATCTTATAATCTCGAAGGAAAATTATTTCCCTAGTGGAAGAATCGATTTTAACAAATATACAAATTACAAGGTAGACTTTATGATCCTGGACAATGCTAAGGATGCCTTCATGCAAAAGCTAGATAAGTATGTGAAACAGCTCAGCAGCTGTGATAGTAAGAGTGACGAGAATGAGTACATTGGCCAAGTCGCCATTGTCGTTGACGTACTAGAAAGGTTAAACAATTTAAGAAGAAACATTCACATAGTCATTTAGAGGACACATATATAAGGGTTGTGGAAAAGTGAGTGTGCGTACAAGTGTACCACCTCCTTTTCAGTACTCTTCAACAGATCAAAATTGCCCACATGGTGAATACCATGCTGTAAGGCCACTTATTGTACCAACCGTTTTTATCACACATCGGTTTACACATTCAAAGTTGATTAATTTTTTTTTTTTTTGTTTGAAATATCACGAGGACTTTGCCCATATGGCCATGTCACCATGTAGCCATTTTTTTTTTTTTTACATAAATGGAAAAAGAAATTGCTACACCACATTTTGTCCATTCTTTGTAGTAATCCTGCGGCCACGTTTTGGGGGCGTTATACGAATGCACACGGATGGGTGTACGTACAGAGGTAGCTATTACTATAAGCCCTCTATCCAAATATGTATTTTTTTTTTTTTTTTTTTTTTTCCGAATGGACCCTTGTCAATGCTGCATTTGTATGTACGTTAACTTTTTTTTTTAATTCACTTGCACACGCCTTGGAGCGCACTTTTTCCCAACCTGAAAAAAACAAGCCCTATACTGGGTGAAAACATCTTTCGTGAAAAGCGCAATTTGATTTTGATGCAAGGAGCGCAATGGAAAGTGAACTGTACAAAATGATAATGGGCACAAAACGGGGACACATTTTACCCATTGCTGTTGCTTCCCTGATAAAAGCCAGCATGTTTTCCAACCAGCAGGGGGAAAATAGAGTGCCTACGTCTCACGCGTGGTAACACCAAATTGGGGGTGCCCCCCCTGTCCACGCCGCAACGAGTATAAAACCTTCCTACCGCACGTGGCACATTTTTACAATTTGTTCTTTGTGTGGAAAAGGTTTTATTACCCTTAATGTGCATAATGCTAATTTTTCTGTTTGAAAAAAAAAGTTTCCCGTTAAAACGGATGGGAAATGGTAATCTGTGGGGGGGCGGACTGATTTGTGAGCTTTTTTTTTTGTTCCCGTTTTTGGGTGAAGAAACAAACCGTATTTGTATGACCACCCGTTGGATGTACCTTCCCGTTCGCGCTGTGTTGTCACAAAAAAGGATACACGACAAAGAGCGTGCAATTATCTTAATTGAATAGCACATGGGAAGAGGATAAAAATGTGGTTATAAGAAACGCAAAGTGACGTCGGGAAAATTAACCTTTTTATATAGGGCAAATATGTGGGGCCTTACCCCACTCTGTTAAAGCCTCCATTATTGTGTACATTCGCGCACACCTCCGGGGGGTACTGTACCTATTGCAGGATGCATGAACGAACATATTTATAAGATGTACCATGTGAACCTTCCCGAATCCCTCTGAGCAAAAGTGGTCATATACATTTCTTTTGAAGTTCATTTTCGAGCCGTGCACCCCAAGTGGGGAAATTCGCTCATTTGCAAAAAAAAGGAAATATGTGACCTTTTTGAGAATGCTCTATGGAGGTAAAAAGAAGGCACCCTATTGGCTTTTTTTTAAAAAGGGAAAAAAAGAATGGCGGCGGGGGTCTCCCCTGTGGGAGTTGCGCCTTAATTTTGCTATGCCCTGTCACACTTTATCATGCTCGAAACGATGCCACGGCAAAAAAAGGGGTATACAAAAAAGGGGTATGCAGAAAAAAAAACAGAACCCACCAAAAGGGTATATATTACTTATATGCACAAAGCACAGCAAGAGGTGTGCCCGTCGCTCGACTTTTCGTATGCACCAAAGGGGAACTGTGCATCACAGAGAATGCTACTTGTATAATACTTCTTCTTCCACACCCGCCTGGGGTTGGGTATGCCCCCTATTCCACATGATCAGCAGAGGCAGCAGAAGAGAACAGCGGGTACTATATTTTTATTTGTGCGCATATGGAAAAACGGTTGAGCAACGGGCGACATTTGGCGGGGGGGAGGATGACTGCCCTTTTGGAAATCGACCCTACATATAACTGTACGTACAAAAACTCATATGCAAAAAATGTACCGTACCCATGTGCGCGCATTATTTCCGTGGCACAATAAAATAGCCCTAGCAAATAAAGGATGTGTTCTGCCCCTGTGTACTTCCCTGCGATTGGGCATTTTTTTTTTACCGTCGCGAGGTCCTTTTTGCATAATTTTACAATATATATACTTTTTTGCACCTGTTTTGTTTGGAAAAATTGAAAAAAAAAAAAAAAAAAAAACCAGTGTTCGCTCACCATGTTGGCGGCAATAATTCCAGCACAAAATTATAATACGTACAAATTATTCATATAGGGGTGGCATGCATTCCCCCTTTTCCATCCTTCGCATTTTTAGCGCCCTTAATTACAAAGCCAACGAACTCAAACCCGCAACAGCATACCGTACCCAAAAAAAAAAAAAAAAAAGTGTTACATTTTATGTACACGTTTTTTTGTTTCTATATTTAACATTTTATATTATCACCCTGTTGGTATTCCTCCATTTGCGAGAAAAAAAACTTTTCTTTGAGGAAACATGAAATTGAGAAAAAAAAGTACATATATAAAGAGGATATATATGAGTATCTCATTTCATTGTTTTACATAATAATAATACAATACGTGCGTTATACATGCACTATAACGTTACATGCGCAACATACATGGGACATATAAAATCGCTGATGCCATATTGCCTTCCTGCACTGCATTAATTATATAGCCACCCCCACGCACGTAATATGTAGAAAAATGCGTGAACTGTTTTTAACCCCCTATTTTTATTTAGGTACCAAATTTTGGTAGTATAACCGGTAGCGGCGCAAGGAACCAAACCGGCTTGAAGCACTTTAACGAAAAAAAAAAAAAAAAACAAAACGGCGGCAACAAAAACCAAAAAAAAAAAAAAAGAGCAGAGCAAAAAGGAGAGATTCAAAGGATATATATAAACAGTGATAATACGGGGAAAAAAAAAAAAAAAAAAAAAAAAAA